CCCTCCATCTCCCATCCTGCCCTCCATCTTGCCCTCGTGGGGGTGAGCTCCATCTCCCATCCTGCCCTCGATGGAGGGGGCTCCTCCAAACCCCGGCTGCGCGATCCTGAGCGCCCCGTGAGCCGTCACTGGCTAGCCCATGCAGACAGTGGAGTGAGAAGCAACACGCGCAGCCCCAGCACCGAGGGGGGGCTAGAACCCCACTCACAAACGTGCCGTCCTGGTAACAGAGCATGCCCGCCACCCCCTTAGAGCATCTCACTGGCCGGGGCGGAGCCGCGATCTCTCTGACCTTCTCTCTCTCTCTCCTGCAGTTGCGGAGGATGCAGGAGATGCTGCAGAAGATGCAGCAGCAGATGCAGGACCAGTGAGAGCCAGGAGGATGGAGGGCAAAGGGAATCCCTGGCGACCTTGCGGGGCCCAGCTTGAGAAGTGGCCGTTGTAGGAAGAAGTTCCCCGTTGCGTAGAGACTTGTGGGCGAAAGCTGCGCCCCCCCACCCCCTAATTTATTAGCAGTGACACTGGCTTTTCTGTCAGCTGGAGTGCGGAAGAGGCTCTTCACTTAGCAATTTACTGGTGTGTTTTTCTTTTGTTTCTTTTAAGCCTGGGAAGTGTCTAAGGCATTTTTAGAACCGTTCCAACTTCCAGATGTACTCAGCCCTGGCTAGGGAATGCGCCGCTGTTCCAAGTCACGGTTTCTATGGCGTACGAACTTGAAGACTGTGTAAATGCACGTAAATGTTTACTCCCAACCAAGGTGCTGGGACCCTCCCCCCCCAACCCCCCTGGGCCAGGGCAGGCACTTAGAAGGACAAACGTCCCTTTGAACCAAGAGCTCGTGAGTTGGACCCAGCCAGCCACCCCTCTCCCCCTGGGGACTCCAGGCCACCCCGCTGCTCTGCATGGGAGAGCAGTGGGGTGGGGGGGTGGAGTTGATCATGGGACGCTGGCCTGTGGGGGTATTTTTAAGGTGCCTGAACATTCCTGCCTGATTTTCCTATTGAGAAACTCCAGGATCTTTTGCACTGAGAGGGGAGAGATCAGCCCCACCCACTAGGTTAGAAGATACTAGCTTCCACTGCCCTCGTTTAGAGCAGTGTTTCTCAACGACCGGTCCCTGAGATCTCCCCGACACAGCTTAGGAAGGCAGCGAGCTGGCTCCTGGAATCAAACAGGTTGAGAAACTCTGGTTTAGAGCATAGTGGTGAGGATGTGGCGCTCGGCGCTGGGAGATCCCGGCTTGCAGAGACGAGGAATATTGGAGCAGCCCATGAGGTGCCAGCATCTTCCCAGCCAGCCATGCCCCTGCTGTGGCCAAACCACACTGTGGATCTGAGTCTCCGGCAGAACTAGGGAGCAGTTAGCAGGAAGCTTGGTGGCTTTTCCTTCACTTCCTGCTCTCTTTGGGGTGAGGGGAGGGGTAGCCCCCGCCATCCAGCCTGTGCATAGCCCTTGGGCTCACTTGGAAAGGTGACATGCCGGGCAGAGGGACCAAAGAGCCGAGGGCAGTGTCCCAGTTTGTACCTGAACAGGGGAAGCCTCGGGGCAGGAGACGAACCCTAAAGATGGAGTTTCCTCATCCCTGAGCGTTCGCAGCCTTGCTGGTCCCTGAGGGGAGACGGGACATTTTCCTTTGCACCGTTCTCGCTGTGCACACGGGGGCGGCTGAAAGGGCTTCGATCAGGGCAGAGGAGGCAAGATAGGCTATGTACAGGGCCGGCCTTATGGAAAATGGCACCCTGGGCTGCCCTTCCCCGCCCCACTCACGGCTGCACAGGGAGGAGTTTCTGAGCCTGGGGGCTCCCCTGGCCATACATTCCCTGACCACCGGGAAGGGGGGACCCAGGGGCGAGCCCTGATGCCTGCACCTCCCTGCCAGGCTGGCAGCTCCAGGTGGCATCATCTGCCCCCCGCTCGGCTGGCCAGGGGTTCCTGCCCTGAGCTGGCCTGCATTCACTCCTGCTCCAGCAGCCCAGACCTGCCATCTTGTGGCACTTGGATGGCGCCTCCCTGGGCAGTCGCCCATGTCTCCCACTCGTAAGGCCGGTCCTGGCTGTGTAGGGAGCAGGTTGGGGCTGAACGGGTTGTGGGCAGCAAGGGAGCATTTGAGTCCCTGGGAGGAGGCTTAGGACAGCCCAGCTCCGCTGGCTATGCACTGCCCCCTCCCTTCCCTTTCACACAGGACTCCACCCAACAGCCTTGCTGGGCAGTAGCTTTAGTCTTCCCCCGTTTCCCGCCCTTGGTCTCAGCCATGGGGACCTGCGTGGTTGAGTTCCAGCGCAGGGCAAGCTGGCGGGATCTGGTGGCAGAGATACGAGGGCTGTGTCTGCAGCAGCCGCTGTCATTTGCCAGGTTATTTTTAACCAAGCACAGTAAGGAGCAGCCAGAAGTGTGGCCTGTCTGATAGTAATGCCAGCGGCCAGCCAGGGAAAATGGGCCCTGAGTCTAACTGGGTCTTCCCTTAGACTCCTTGGAGTGCTGGCAAGGAGCTGATTGCCTGATGCACATGGGGGTGGGTCCTTCCTGCCCAGCCCCTGGTTCCCGCTCTGAGTCCTGTGGGTGCTCATTTACCTGTGGCTTTGTGTTGTCCAGCTCTGACTCCTCGATGGCCGGCTCTTGGTGTGACGCGCGGTGTTGGCTGGGTCTGGTTAAGTGCCAGGGCTGCTTCTGCTAGCAGTGTGTCATGCTGGCTTCTCTCAGCAGGGCCCTGAGCTCTTGGCCTGTTGGTGAGTAGCTGGGGCGGTGCCTGTTATTCACAGGCAAGCCTCTTTTGTCTCGGGTAGGTGCAGGAGAGACGGGACAGATCTCGGATATAACGAGGAGAGGCTAAGCTAACGAAGGGCAGCGGTGCCTCTTGGACAGATGTCTACACTAGGCCAGCGCAAACTGAACCTCTGAGCTTTGGCTCGTTTAAGAGGCCTCTCTTGCTGCCCCAATGAAGTGCAGAGCCGTGCAGTGTGTCTGGGGGACAAACTCAGGCCAGAAGAGCAATGTCATTATCTCCCCAGCTCCTTTGTCCTGTCCCGTCCCCCCTGTGTGAAGCACGTAAGAGATGCCATGCCAGGATAGACTGAGGGGCCATTTACTCCTGTCTCCAGCTCTGTCCAATGCCAGATGCTTAAAGGGAAAGTGTGAGCCGCCTCGCCATAATGCACTGCTTGTGTGGTATTGTAGCCTGAGGGGACAGCTTCTTCCAGGCCTAGGCTGGTGATCAGCTACTATCCTGACGCATGAGGATTGCTAACTTGTGTCAGTTTTATTCATGCTAGTGTAACTGCAAATGCTGTTCCTGTTCATTGGAGCGTCTGTTCCCTTTTTGTAAAGCTTGATAAGTTCCTTGCTTCTGCATTATCCTGAGGCAGTGAATTCCACAAGTTAACAATCTGTTGGTGGTAACATTTCCAGACCCGCTAAGGGAGCCTCTGTGTCCAGCATGTTTTGGCCCAAGAAGAGGTAGAGGAGATCATCTTCCCTTTAGCATTAGATGGCAGCTTGGTTGAGTGCAGCCTGCAGCTGTACTGGTGGCTGAGTTCACAAGCAAGGCATTGAAACAGGGCAGGGCTGTGGGTCTGAGGCATTTGGCAGGACAGGGCACCTGCAGCCAGAATTGCTGACTAAGAAATCTGCCCCCTTTCCCGGTGAGGACATCTCCATCAACTCAGTGCAAACTTCTGCTAAATCAGACCCATTCCACACAGAGCCGAACTTCTCAGCCATGGGCAGGGGTAGCGTGGAGTCAGAGAGAGAGAGAAGCACCTTCTGCCAAGGCAGCTAGAGCTGCAACTTCTCCAGAGGTGAAGTAGGACCACGGAGACCCACCAGCAAAGAAGACACAGCAGGTTTCCTTCCTCTTGGGAGGCTGGGAGGAGGGTTGGCTGCCTGGAAAGACATTGGAAATGGAGGTGACCCCTGGAATGCTCTAGAGATCTGCCCTCTGCCTGCGTGTTCTCAGCATGGAGTCTCCCCCTGTTGAATTGAGCCGCACTCTGACTGGTAGAGGCGTTCCTGGGTAAGCATGGCTGGTGGTTCCTCCTGTGGCTAGCGAGGCTGGAGCCCCCTCTGGCAGTGAAGGAAGTAGAGAGTATGGCTAGGATGCTCCTTCCCCCTAACACACCCCTACACACACACACACACACACCCCTGCATCGTAAGCCTTTGCCAATTTTTTGCACTTCTTAGCGACTCCAGGAGCTGAGTCCGGCTCCACTGAGTTCTCAGGCGCTGTCACTGCGCTGGGGGTTGTGGGTACCACGTCTCAAACCGTGTGCCTGATTGGGGAGGTGGTTGTGGGATGAACCCGTTTGTGTGCCATTGGCTCTGCCAGCACTCGCTGACCACCTGCATGCCTTGTCCTGCATCTTGTTCCTTTGGGGGGGAATTCCATTCTTCACGCTGTGCGACGGCTTTCCCCGCTCCCTCATTGCACACAGCCACCCTGGTAACCCTGGCTTGCTCGTGACCACGTGATTTGCGCATCCCCTCGCTCTGTTCCTAGGCACTTCCTTTCCCCGTTGTCAGTTTGGTTGGGTTTTTTTTGTACATTACTGTTGAGTACTTTGTCATTGTGAACGAGAGAAACCAACTCTTTGGAAACGTATCCATTTTATTAAAATGATGATGATGATGATGGCTATTATTATTAATAATAATGTTTACTATCTGAACTGGTCAGTGAAATAAATACATGAAAAAAACGACAAGACGACCTTTTCCTGGTTTGTTTTTTGTCTGCGGAAGGGGGACTTGTTAGGAGTGGGGACAGAAATGCAAGATGCCTGGAAAATCCCCCTGGGCGTGATCTGTCCAGTTCTCTAGTTCAGTCAGGTTAGGCTGGATGTAGGTATAGGCTGGGTCAAACCTGAGTGTCCCGCGACCCTATGCACAATGCCACTCACTCAGATTCGGAGGGGAACATGGGCCGGAGGGGTCAGAATGCTGGGGGGGGGGGGGGGAGGGACTGAGAAGGGGAGAGGAGAGGGTCAGGCATGGGGGGGCAAATCTGTGCCCCCTCCTACTGTAAATGGCACTCCACAGCCCCTGGATGCAGGAATCACTGGAGGAAATTCTCTGGCCTGGGTTATGCAGGAGGTCAGATGATCATAATGGTGCTTTCTGGCCCATGGAAAAATCTACCTGAGTCTTGAAGCACCCCCCAAATGAAAGAAAAACACGACCGCAAAAGCTGAGCAGATGTGAGCCCAGATTCCCTGCCTGCCTTCTGCTCTGCTGTAATAACCGGAATGAGCCACTCTGATTTATTAGAAGCTTAAAGGTTTTAAAGCATATGAGATGAGTTTTTATCCCCAGTCCTGCCTTCAGTTACAGCCCCACTGAATCAATGGGCCCAGTTTTCCCCAGCCCTGTTCCTTGG